GCGCTCCGCCTGCCTCGTAAAGGGGCTGGCGCACCCCCCGCCCCCGCCGCTGACGCCGGCTTCAACACCGGCTTCTCGCAGCCTCCGTTGTCGCCTTCCTCTTGACTTCGCCGCGGCCTTCCGCCTCATTTCTGCCTTCAACCTCGTTTCCGCATTCAACGTCATCTTCGCCTTCGTTCACATCTGTTTCCCTTTGTCTGCATCTCTGCGTGCGTCCTTATCTTTTCCTTCGTCTACATATCCGCCTTCGTCAACATCTCTGCCTTCATCCACGTCTTTGCCTTCTCCCTCGTCTGCTTTCGCCTACGTCTCTTCATTCGCTTACGTCTCTGATTTCATCTACGTCTCTGCCTTCGTCCGCTTCTTCGCTTTGATCTCCGTCTTTGTCCACATCTCTACCTTCGCCCACATCTCTTTCCCATCGTGCACATCTGTCTTCGTCATCTCAGCCTTCGACCTCATCGCAGCCTTCGTCCTCATCTCTGCCTTCACCCTTATCTCTGCCTTCATCCTCACCTCTGCCTTCGTCCTCATCTCTGCCTTCGTTCTCATCTCTGCCTTCGTTCTCATCTCTGCCTTCGTTCTCATCTCTGCCTTCGTCTACATCTCTACCTTCGTCCACCTCTGCCTTCGATCACCTTCCTTCTCTACCTTTGCCTCCGTCTCTGCATACGTCCCTATTTCTCGTCCCTCCACCTTCGACCACGTCTCCGGCTTCGTCCACATCTCTGCGTTTGTCCTCATCTCTGACTGTGTTCTTACATCCGCCTCCCTCCCCCCTTCTGCCTTCGACTCCACTTCTCTCTTCATCTCCGTCTTTTCCTTCACCTCCACCTCGCTCTAGCGTTGACCTCCACCTTCGTCTCCGCCTCCGCCTTCCACACCTGCTTCTCCAATTCCCTTCTCCGCCCACGCCTCTGCCTCAACGTCCTTACCGCACCATCCTTACCTCTCTACCTAACTCCGCCTCGGTCCCCGTTTCAGTAGTCTCTACTCGCCCCCCCCCCACCTCCGCATCCTTCCCCTCCACCGCACAGCTTCCCCTCCACCGCTACCTCCGCTGCCGCCGCGTATCCACGCAAAACCCATCGCACGCTGCAAATCGCGTCGCCGGAGCCCGAGCCGTCGGCGCGCCTTGTTTCTAGTTTTGTTCCTGTTTAAGTAATAGCCGGGGGCGGCCACCCCACCCACTACCCTCACCCCGCGCCCCTTCGCCTCTTGTCGCCGCTCCGCCGCGCTCCTTACTCTAAATATTTTCTTTGGCGTCGCTTTTACGAGCGAACGAGGAAACGAGCAAACGGAGGGGGGAGGGGGATGCCCATCCCGAGAGCAGTCGCCTGCGTGCCCGGAGGAGGGGGGGGCGTGGGTGTCAACAGGAAGTCGGGTGACCTTGGTGCCGCGAGGGGCGCTGCCGGCAATTGACTGGTTGGGCGTTGGGAGTTTGGAATGGGAATGGGTGGCGATGTTGTGGATTGTACTCGGCTGACTGATTAGTGATTCCGGGCGCGTCGCATGCTAAGGTCTGGTGCCGGATGTGTGGTGCAAGTTTTTAACGTGGGACGTGGCAGTGATCTTCCCCGCTGGATGGTGAGAACTGACGTACTGCCGGTTAGCGGGGTTTTCCCCAACCAGGTTTCTCCCACCTGCGGAGCACCACCACTGTCGGGACAAGCTCTTAGCTCCCGGCATGTGTGGTAGTGTATTGCGTGTGTGTGTAGGTGTAAGTAAAGGGTAGGATAGGACAAGGAAGAGGGAAAAAAGATCGCGCGCTGTGCGTGTCCCATTTATTAAGGTATTGTTGAGGCGTTCTCCCGCTGTGGATCGGAGAAACCATAGAAAACTTCCAATCAACCCATCCGGCCGCTGGAAGTTTCCTCCACGCTGTGGCCGAATTCGACCTGGCTATGAAACTCGATCCCTAGAACCTGCCAGCCAGAGTTACTGCAGTAATGTTACTGCATAAATTGTTGCCCTGAGTCGACTAAACCGGTATTGTACACGTGAAATTTCAATGTGTTTGCAGTATTTGCACTCAAATGCCCATAACGGTTTTTTTTTCCCAAATAGAAACTCGCAACTCAACTTACAGTAACGTTTCTGATTTATGAAATTATATTTGTGTCTCTTTATTACCTTTGCACATGCATTTCCTATTTCCGCTTTAGAATCGAGATACTTTGATTTACAATATTGATGATTGTACAGCACATTTACTTTATGAACTGAAGGAATTTTATTACATAAGTGTTCTATATGTTTGGGAGATAGATGGATATATGAAGGACCCATCTCGTGGCTAGCTAAAATGGAAATTCAGAACCTGCTTTCAGTACCAAAAGAAAAGGCTTATGATAACTTATACTGACCGTATCCTCCAAAAATTCGATTTGATGCGAAAAATTAATAGATTACTTTTACGGAAACTATGATGAAAATGTTTACTTATCTTCGAAAATATCCTGAGAAATATTTAAGTATTTCTATGTTACGACGCGTATTTTAAAGAAGATTTAACAACATACGATCATATCACATAGTTCTAAAATCGTATCCTCTTCTAATTCTCGTATAGCGTACAGAATGCAATTATATTATGAAATGTTGAACACAGAGTGCAAACCATTAATGTGGTTATGTAGGAAAAAATGCATAACGAATTTGGCTGAGTGAACCATTAAAAGGGTAGAATTCATCCTTCATTCCTAACGTATTCCAGAACTCACTTAAGCACTCGTTCACAGAAACATCAAGAGCATTTTTTTGGTCAACGACGTGACCCATATTCAAGCCACGCGATCATCCGGCAAGAATAAAAAACACACAAGGCGCTCTCTCAATCCGGAATCCTATTCCGCGTGCGTCCAGCTCACCAGCAACAAGGCACAAAGAAGTCGCTGGCGGCGCAACAATTTCATTACCGCAATTATTATTACGGCTATTTCTACGACTCCCGCCTAGAAGCGCGTGCGAGAGCCGGACTTTCTGCGAACCACTCGACGCACACGCGTGTTGGCGGCGGGCGGACGGGTGGACCGCGGGGCAGCGCAATGCAGTGCTTGCCGTGCCGCGCCGCGCAAATCCAGGAAGACAGCGTCCAGCGGTATGCCCAGCGACGCAGCGGCGGCGGGAAGGCGGATGTGAGTGACACGGCGCGATTGTGAGATCCTGCGACGTGCAGGTGCGTCAGAAGTGTCAGTCAGACTCTTTTTTCTTTTCTTTTTCTGTTTTTCTCATTATTATTATTATTATTATTATTATTATTATTATTATTATTATTATTATTATTATTATTATTATTATTATTATTGTTGTTGTTGTTGTTATTATTATTATTATTGATATTATTGATATTATTGTTATTATTATTATTATTTGTTGAGTGTATTCTGTTATATACAGATCTAGTGCTAATTTTCTCTCAAGCACCAGTAGCAGGCTTATGTATTTTCTTTGTTTTTTCTAAGATTATACAAATGTAATTCTTTGGAAGATCACTCCTTAATGTGTGCATTTCTACCAATTAGTAAACACTATTGCATTTGTGAGTTAATGTGCGTTAAATGATTTTTAATTAAGTTTTTCGACAACTCAAAATTTTTTTGTGAAAAAGAACTTCAAATTTCGAATTTACAGTAGCGTTTAAGGGCCTCCATAACGGCTCCAAGTTTTGTATAAAATTGCTTTTAGGACGAGGTTTTACTGTTTTTTAATATTCTTAAAATAATATTTTTGTTCTACTATTAGGAAACAGAAAAACTGAGAAAATATTTAAAAAATGTACTTTAGGTGGCGATAGATGGTAGCTGGCAAGAGTATGTGGCAAGTCCGCATAGCTTGCCGAGACAAAGGAAATTAAAAAAAAAAATCTAATACGGAAAGAGTGTGCCATTTGTAGCACCACTAGTCATTATTGAGATATGAATTTTTACATGTGTACGGAGAGAACCCATGTGTAGTTAACGTTATTTTTCTATCTGTATATCTATCTATCTATCTATCTATGTATCTATCTTTTTTATCTAAGCATCTTATCATGATATAAACATTTTCCAATTTTTCCAAAAAATAAAGGATACATCCTGTGAAATGTATTTTATAATTATTTATTGCGGATATTAAATTATTCAAAATATTCTGAAGAAGACATCCTTGTATGTATAGTTAATTTCAAGTTTACGTGACGTCGTCGCGGTTGAAAGAGCCACAAACACAAGCTCTACATACAGTGTATGTACACAGTTTTAACACCAACAAGCGAATACCAGTTCTATCATTTCCCGACCGCCAGTAGCGATCCAACATCTCGTGTACACACTACAAGTACCAATTGAGACCCGCCCCGCCAGTGCACGCTCCATCCGCGTACCCACACGCGTGACTGTCACCCGTGCCAGCCGTGCGAGCGCGATGCGCGCCAGCTCCGGAGTAAGTTTTGCGCACCGCGCGGTGTCCATATTGAAGACCCTCCAGGCGGTTTTTTCTCCTCAGTTGACCTGGAGAGCCAGGAGTTTATCAAATTTCAGAAGGGGCCTTGTACAGTTAGATCGGCAGACGTTTAGGCTTAAGCAGCAGAAGGAAGGAATGTAACTAAAACACACTAATTAAAAACTAAAGTATATCTAACTTTAAATAATAAATAGTTGCCTTTTTGAGGCTGTAGTTATACATGTTTTAGTACCATTTAATTGCCTTTTTCTTTTTCTGCACTTCAAGGACTAGGCGGCTGCCTGTTCCGTCTTCGCACATCGATTGATCGATATGATTGTATTTTTCTAACATTCTTCCGTTTTCTATTTTTTTTCATACATTCACTCATAAAACATACATTTATTCACTCATAAATACATTTACTCATAAAAGTATAGATACACAACATGTACTCCTAAATACACACTTAAGTACACCACACTACATACACTTTTCTTCTCTTCGTCACGGCACTTTGCTCAAGCTTAGCTGCTAGTATACCTACTAGCGGCATGCTAGCTGCATATTAGCGGCACACTTACAGAATACTAGCGGCATTCTAGCGGCATTCTAACTGTATACTAGCTGTATACTAGCTGCATATTAGCGGCATACTAGCGGTATACTAGTGGCATGCTAGTGGTATATTAGCGGCATACTAGCGGTATACTAGTGGCATACTACATGCATTCTAGCGGTATTCTAGCGGCATTCTAGCGGCATACTAGCTGCATACTAGCCGTATATTAGCGACATATTAGCGGCATACTAGCGGTATACTAGTGGCATACTAGCTGCATTCTAGCGGCATACTAGCCGCATACTAGTGGCATGCTGGCGGCATACTAGCTGCTTTCTAGCGGGCTATGTCTCAAGCGTCCGTTTTCTCCTCTAGGCGGCCGCGTTGCAGCGGAGCACATTTCGGCGCCTCCCGCGCGGATTCCGGCTGCAGAGAGCGGCGTTCGCCTCCCGCGCCCCGCCGGCCTGTGATCGCGTGCGGGGGCAGGGCGCGGCAGGGGAAGGCAACGCACGGGCAGTGGGGCTTTCGTCTACGAAAGGTCTCGGTGATTTTAATGAAATGAATTGGAGTTCGGTCAACGAGTATGTTTCCTGCCCCACCAAATTATATTATTATAAAAAGTAAATAAATATAATGTGTTGTCAGGTATCAAATATCAAAGAACTGAAGTTTAAATATATATTTGATACCAGACAACACCTTTCATTTATTTCATTATGAGAAGGTTACCTCATCAGCGATCTTCTTGTTTTCTAACTTGTATCGTCCACCTATATTACTCCCATTCTCAAAATAGAGCGTTTGATTCGTCAATCATTTAAATATGTCCATGAATTCAAAAGGGTAAGAAGAAAATTTACGAAGTTCAAGGTCACAAATCACCACCCTCCTTCCTTCGAGAAGACGTATAAGTAACCCTTGAAACTAAAAACTTGGTGCTAAAACAGCACGTAAATTCTCACCCGAATATACGCGCACAATTACGTGAAAAGTACTAAAATTTTCGAAAAACTGTATATTACCTTCTTTCAAAACCTATCTTTAAGGAACTGATTTCATTAAGGAAAAAATCTCTATCTTTAGTTGTTAGAAGACTCCGACAAAATTGTTTTTTTAAAGAATCAGAATTTTAACGAACATGAGACTTGTACCATTCTCTTAAACGGCTTTCACACTATGCAGCGACAAAATTTAATCTAAAACGATGAAACCATTTTTTTGAAGTTTTTGAAAATGTACCAGGGTTTCCATGTAAAGTATCCTCCAAAATTAAAATATCGATTTCCAATTCAAGGGGTCGGGAATCAGCCAGATCGATTGGGGAACATCAATTTTGTGGAAAATCGGCTTAATGGTTTAGCCGTTAGCCTTGTTCAGAGACAGACGTTTGGCCGTCATTCGATTTTTCGGTATCAAAACATGGATTCTGGCTATACCACGAAAGTGAGAATTTTTTTCTAAGTTCAGCAACTGGATATATCCACATTTGCTTTTCCAGGGCCATGTAATACGTTTCTCTGCCGAAACTTCGCCGTTTTCTCACGCAGCATCACACATCTTTCTCCGTAGCAAGAAGGTAAAAAAATGTGGAGAAGTGTTTGCTGCCCGTCTGCAATGCACCGATCATCGGGATAAGCTGTTTATCTTCACGTGACGGCGTCTGCAGGCGGCGGCCGGACGTGATCGGAGGCCGCGCGGGATTGCGGTTGCCCGCAAAGAAAAACACTGGGCGGCGATAGCCTTCCCCGAAGCCGCTCGCGCGCCGTTGACTCCACCCTGCGATGTGCCCCTGGGCAGCGCTTCCGTGACGCAGTGCCGCCGTCGTAAACATTACGATTGCCCCCCCCCCGTGTCACATGTTTTCGTTTCCGCGGAATGTTTCTAGCGGCCGGCTGCTCTGATCGGTAGTTTTCCGTGGCTTCTCCCGTCGACACCGGGCGAATGTCGCAGCAGTACCATAACTAACGGATCATTGCCATCTTTCCTTCCTCTTCTTGGTCTTATCCTTTCCCCTTACACGCACACTTACACTAACATGCACTACACTACCACACAGGTCGGGAGCTTAGAGCTTGGCCCGGCTGGGGCGGTGCCCCGCTGGTGGGAGATACCTGGTTGGGAAAACCACGCTAGCCGCCGATAGGTCGGCGCCGGATCTCGCCATACAGCGGGAGGAAAGACCACCGCTACCTCACGAGCAAAGACATGCACTACACTTATGAAACTATTGACCTCAGTAATTGACATGCCCGAAATCACGAACCCACTGAGGAATGTTCCGTTCCATGTAGTGCTGCCTGATTATTTTATTGTTTATCGCGTGGCTTGGGTTTGCCGGAAGGCGGCACGTTGGCTGTGGTTCTGCAGATAGATTTATC